AAAACTGTGAGGGCTTGAGCCCAAAATGGACAATATTTCATGTGTGGTAACCCCCAATGCACAACAAAACGAAACAAACCAATTTATTTGTTAGGTCATTTACACTCCAACACCCCATTTTTTATTACTTTTTTTTTTCTTTTTAAGTTCGTAAATAATAATGAGTCTCACAGTTACACGTCATTATTTTTTTTTATAATTCAAGTAACTCACTTTCCAATCCAGTAACTCTAAATTTTTACTAAATGGATCACATAAATAACCTTATATTTCACTAGAAATGCACATAAATGGACCTATAATTTTTAAGAACTTGCTTTTTGAGAGGTGTTTATATAAGCATTTTTTGTTTGAAGGATACTTAATAAACACATACTCCAATGGAAAGATCTTATTAAGAAATGATGCTTAATAGAAAAAAAAAAACGAAAAAGAACTTGCGTTGAAGATGCCTTAAGATCCATGTTTATAGATGATATTCAAGCTAGCAAAAAAAAAATAATTCAAGTTTAATTTTTTCTTATTTCAATCCTTTTGATGGAGGGGGTTATCTTTCATACGATTCATTAACTAACTAAATAATTGGTGTGGGATCAAATATATTTTTTCCCTCAAAATATCTTGAAATTTAGTAATAATTTTTATAAAATTTTAATATGACTTAATTTTTATATTCGTTAGAAGTGATATAGTTTTAGTTCAACTTCAACAATTTAAAAACATTTTTTTATTAAAATGTTTTACATATAAACCTAATTTTGAGATATTTTTAAGAAATAAAACCATATTTTATATTATTATTTTTAAATAAATGCCCATTACTTGATTTTGTGTTTCACTTTTCACTTGTTCTTTGTTGTTATTATAATCTTTTTCATATGTATAATTGTAATAATTTTATTTGTTATAACTTATTATCATGAACAATAGCAAGTACAATATAAGTAAAATAATATTTTTTAAGTTCTCCATGAATATTCTTATTTCAAGTGAATTTTGTTGGAAACACAATCAATTATTAAATGTTGAAATTCATTTCACTAGATATACGAACCTTGATAAAATCATGTTATAAAGGTAGTGTTTTTATGATTACATTCTTTTTATAAAATAGTTAGTATTTTAGTTTGTTAAATATTTATTATATATAACTAAGTTTATAATATTAAAGTTTTGGGGTTTAGGGTTTATTATATATAACTAAATTTATTATATATTCCATTTAAGGTGAATTAAGTAGATGAGCATGTATTTGAAAACTGTTCAATACATTATTATTATTAGTAAGAAAGATTTGGTCCATTGATTTTGATAATATATTGAAGGTCTTTCTACTTTTCTTAAAAGAGTTGAAGTTAAAGAAGATCTACATGGCATTCAAGTTTGTTAAGGTGCCCCTATTCTCACCCATCTTTTGTTTGTTGTCGATTGCTTCCCTTTTTTTTGTAGAGCCACACCTAATGAAACAAATACTCTCCAAGACATTCTTAGTCTTTATGATAGAGTCTTTGGTCAAGTCATAAAATATCAAAAGTCAAGTATATTTTTCACCAACACCATTCAGGACTCTCAGGATTTTGCCTCTACTACACTTGGTTTGACTGAATGTATAGACTGAAAAATAAAAAATATCTCAATCTTCCCTCCATGGTGGGTAGGAGTAAAAAGGCTTTTTTTTCAGCCATGTGAAGGACAAAATTTGGGATAAATTGCATAACTGCACATCAAAACACCTTTTTAAGATAGACAAATAAGTTATCATCAAATTTAGGAGGAGACATTAATTGTTTAAGTTGAGAAAAAAATTTCATGAGGAAAGAATTCGGAGATATGAATTTTCACCATCTTTACAATTTTCAACTTGTCCATGATAGAGGAGCAAATTTGGAAATTCCCTACCAACCCGAATGTTGTAGTTACCCATGTCTTCAAAGCAAAATAGTTTCCTAAAGATATTTTTTAGGGGCTCAGTTGGGCCACAACCTTAGTTTCACTTTGCATAGCATCCACGTTTCATAGGTAGTTGTCAATGGAGGCTTGAGATGGAGACTTGGCAATGATTCCCAAGTAAATGTTTGGAGGCAACCTTGGTCGAGAGCAACCGACAACCCTTTTATCTCAACCTCCTAGTTATAGGTTTTGAAGACCTTTCTATTTACATGTTAATCAATTGACAAAGGCACCAATGGAACACTTAGATCATACGATCTATTTTTCAACCCTAAATATTTTAATGGAATCCTCAATAGTCCTATATACCAACTCAAATGGGATGTCGCCTTAATTTGGAACTTGAGCAAGAGTGAAACCTATATAGTCAAAACTACTTACCACTACATTATGGAAAATCTCATGGAAACCAATCACCATAAAACACCCGGTAATTGGATGGACCTTTGGAAGCTATAATTGCCTCCCAAAATAAAAGTTTTCTTATGACACTTGGGCAAAGGATGCATCCCCTTTATAACTCATCTCCAAACTAGATGGGTCAATTGTAATGCTATTTATCCATTTTGTGATACAAACTTAGAGAAATACTTACATATTTTCTTTGGTTGTGAAATGTTAACTAGGTCTGGAGATCAACGGGTATGTGGCACCTCATTCAGTCCACATTAATCTCTTCACATGACACCCTTCAAGCCTTCTTCTGCCTCATCCCCTCTCTCCCACGCGACCTTATATCTAATCTAGCTTTTATCCTTTAGTGTCTTTGATCTATAAGAAACGAGAAAGTCTAGGATGGAATTGAGAAACCCCTCCCTATCTCCATAGAACTAGACACAAACTCGTACTAGAAATACAACCACTCAAAATCACAAACAAATTTACACAACTAGGTTGCGACCTCGAGGATAGCACCTCAAGTGCAATGTTGATGCTTTCCTTTTCCATGACCTACATTGCTTCGATATCGACATCTGCATCAGAGATGAGTATGGTGGTTTTGTGAAGCCAAGACTATTCTCCATCTTGGCCTTCCTCCCTCTCACGAAGCAATGGGGAACAACTTGCTTCAAGCCTTACTTTTGACCTAGGAACTCGATTTTCAAAACATCACTATAAACTTGGATTATAAATCCATCGTCTACAGTTTTGAGTAGAGCACCTTTACTCCAAATTGAATTTGGCATCATCCTTGCTCATTATTGTGAAATCATTTATTCTTTACAAAATTGTGTTGTCAATTTTATTAGGAGGCAAACAAATTGGGTTGCTCACTTTTTTGCTAGAGTGTCATGTTCCCATACTAGTCCTACAAATTTTGGTTTAGTTCCTACTTGTATTGAGTTACTTATTATGAATGCAATGATGAGTTTTTCTCTGTAAAGAAAAATAATAATAGATTTTATATACATTGTATTTAAAATTTATATACATGGATATTTTCAAACATATGAAATATATTTTAGACTTATGATAACTATTTTACATTATGACACAATATTATTTTTAAACCGGGATAATTATTTTAAAGTATTAGATTTTATTTTATAAATTAATATAATAGATAAAAATTAAATTATATAAGAAGTTTTTTTTTAAATATTGTTTAAAAAAACTCTAAAAACATTATTGCATAAGATAATCATTCATGTTTAATATATAGAAATGAATTGTATCTAAACTCATACTTGTGTAGGTAATAACCCTTTTTTCGTAGACCACATGCATGATCTACTAGAAACAATTTTATTTAAGTTAGGTAGGATTATTATGAGTGACAGAACTCTCACTTTAATGCTTTGTTTGAGAGAGGAAGAAGAATTGAAGGAAATGGAAGATAATATATGAGAATTGATTTGATAGAAAATAGTGTGGAATTTACAATTATTTGATAGAGTGAAATGAGGTGAGAAATGAAAATAAATTATTATTTTAAATTGTATTCTATATAGTTAGATTTTTTTGTAAAATTATACTATTCAAACAGTTACATTTTTATCCTTTACTAACTAACTATGCAGATAATAATGCAGGGTTTGTATTGTCCAATCATTTTTTTTTAAATTATCTACAAATCCATCCATAAGAGAGTGAAATTAAATTCACATAAGTCTTACCATAATTCACTCACACTTTCACTTAAATCACTCCTCTAAACACACCATAAGTATTTAATACAAATATATATCTAGTACTTAATCTTGAGACCACTTGCATTGACTGAACTAGATTAACTTTATACCAATTATTTCACATACATGTTACTATATAGGTGATAACTTTAAGAACAAAATATAGGTTTAATTACACTTTTTTGCCACTCATATTTTATATTTTTGTAAAATTTGTCACTTAACTTTGCAAATGTGCAATTTTACCACCAAACTATAAAAAATTCACACATTTTAACATTTTATTAGTTGATTGTTGGATGAAATTAGTTCATTTGTTGATGTGATATATCAATCACTAACATGACAAATATAAGATGATATAACATAATGTCAAAATGTTATGACACGTATCATATTATGATTGATTAATGGTGTTAGAGAATCAAGAGAGTGTTTTAAAAATTAAGTAATAATATATATAATTTTAAAAATTGAATAAAAAATTCATAAATATATAAAAAGTGTCTAAACATATATACACTTATATAAGTGTATCAGTAGAATTGACTAATAAAAATTGAAAATTTACTTAATAATACATATAATAAAAAATTTCATAAAATGTTAACGTAAGAAACAAAATCGAAAATTTTTCATAACTTTTAATACTACTGGCTGCTATGTTTTATGGTAATATTCATGATATTTAATAATTGTATTTCTATTATTTATAATTTTTAAAATATTTTAATTAAGTTTTACAGTATTTTAAATTTTTTTTTTTTTACGGTGAATCAAAATGCGAGTAAGAAATAGAAATACATGTATTGAGAAACCTAATGAATAAAAATACAAATATTAAAATGTGTAATTTGGGTAAAATGATATTCTTAAAATGTGGGTATAAAGGGAGTTGAATGTTAACTGGTGAAACCCTATATAAATTGTAGCAAGAAGAAGAAGCTGCAGAAAAGGAGAAAGGGGATTGTGTGCATTGAACTTAGACGAAAGGACGTGTTCCTGTCAAGTGTCAACTGAACCAGATTGGGTATTGGCGATTGCTTCCAACTTTCAACTGTAGATTTCGCTGTGTGTCTAAAAGTAAGCTCCCAAAACCCTAATTGTCACTGGCTTTGCCCCTTTTTACTAACTGTGTGCCACGACTTGGATTCTTTTTATAATTAGCATTTTTTATTCGTTCTTAATTTGCTTTCCTCGTCCGCAGTTATGAGTCTTACTCCTGTTTTTATTTTTTTTACAATTCATCATCTAAATTCTACTGGTTGCTTTTGTTTTGGTTGGTTTACTTGATTTGGGTAGATTGATCACGGCTGGGAGCAGCATGCGCTAGCTTCCAGGGCTTTGCTTGCGGATTGCTTTTCGATTTTGCTGAAGATTCTGTGCAAAATGGATTTGGTAGCCAGTTGCAAGGTATATTCAAGTTTTTTTAAATTTTTTTTTTATTTGTTTGAGTGGTGCCTAACTCGGTGGATTATTTGTCTGCCTTTCATTTTTAATTGTGTTAGGTTGGTTTCTCTGCGTTAAATAGTTAATGCAGAATCAGTTTTGATTTTCCTGGTAATTGGCAGTACAAGGTTAGGAGTAGCGACTTAGGGTGTGTTTGGAAAAAACGTTGGGTTGATCGTAACCCACGTTTTTCTCCAATCCATTGATATACTTGCTTCTCTATTTTGAGCTTTGGACGTGTGAAAGCCGTTTGGTGCCTTGTAGACCCGCAATCCAAACATGCACTAAGAGGAGCATGGAAATTTCTTGTTTTTAATTTTTTATATTTGTTTTACATGGATAGATGTTAGAAATTTATCTGGCAAGCTTAGTTTGTGCCTCATTCATTGATTGGACTTGCAGTTTTTGTTTAGTTTGATTTATTTATCATGATCATTGTTAGCAGGGGTCCAGTCGTGCAGGGAAAGGTTTTATTCATTTGTCTCGAGTTTATGCTACAAAATATTTACCATGGGTTATGCTGTTATACAATTCTGATCTAGTGACTTTTCTTGCAGGAAAAATTGCAATATTTTCGTATAAAAGAGCTCAAAGAAGTGCTCACTCAGTTGGGACTTTCAAAACAGGGAAAGAAGCTGGTGAGGCGAGAAAAATTACTGATTTTGTATCGTTAGTTTTAGGATTTTTCTTTGAAATCTGAATGCAAGTGTAATTAGCATTAGTGAATGGTGTTCATTGGCTGATTACTTGTTTTTTATATGATCCTTTATTAACCCCCTTTCCCATTAGATTACACGCAATTTGAATTGCTGTATTTAGGTTGCATGGCTCAGGCTTATATGTCTCTCAGTAATCAAGAACATGAGTTGAAACTCTTGGAAAATATGGATATTGTCACAGTGGCATAGACTTTCATGATTGTTGCAACTTAGGTTTTTAAATTTTAACTTGTGCAATAATATTTTTTTAATGCTTGACTTCATACTTTCGTTTTTGGAGTTTTAGGAGTTAGGACAATATAATTATATGGATATTCTATTTTATGTAGGATCTTGTTGATAGGATATTGTCTATTCTCTCAGATGAACAAGGTAAGATTATACTCTCTCTATGACATACACACACCCAGACTGAATCTTTTGTTCTAATTCTGCCTTATGTCCAGAATGTTTCTTTTTGCGTTTTGACAAAGCTTATTTACTCAAGTATATCTACATAATAGAATCATTAACTAAATTCTTGAACATACTAATGTCTCAAATATTATATTTCTCCAACAATATCTCATTGCAGCTGTTAATTGTTGTATGCTTTGATGTATTAATTTTCTTTAATTCAAGTTAGATGGAAATCCTTGGAAAATGCAGTGATTTTATTTGCGCCCCATAGTAAAGTTTCCTTGTTAATCTGATGAGTTTGGGCTGTTTCTTTTCACTTGGGCTGTGTTCGTACGACAAGTTTCCTTTTATGACTTGTCATATTATGTGTGTTTAGAACAAATTTCCTTTCATTTTTAAAATTCAGATGAAACAGATCAGTCATCTACTTAGCTGAAGTTCTAGCTCAAGGGTCACACCAGTCCGCCATAATTGTCAAAAGTGCCAATAAGCAGTGCTATCGTGAACGTGGAGTGGCTGGATTGCTGGAGCATGCTAAGAAAAATGAACAGTGTTGCAGTTTAAAGTAGCTGCATTGCACCTGCAATAATGGACAAAATTGTGGAAAATGGGGCTGGAGTGGGCACTATTGGAGTGTGACGCTAAAAACTATTTTAACCATGAAAATTATCATTTAGGGCTGTTTTAGTTGGGGGGGGGGGGGGGGGGGGGGGCATTTGAG